AAACATTGAGTGTTTTTGTAATATTTAGAAGCACCGAACGTTGAGTATATGATGTCGACGTCAAGTCCAGCCTGCTGCTACATGATCGACTTTCTCGCCTCGTTCATGGCTTCCGATGGCTACCGCGATGACAGTTAACACACCGCGTGTCTATCGATGGCAGACGAACCCCAAGCCAGCCAGACAACACGAGATGGTTTATTACACGAGTATTAACGCGCGCGTCTGTAAAGCGTTCGTAGATGATATATATAAGCGGTTGTTGAGGAGGACAATAGCGACATGTGTCATCACGTATGTGTGCGCGACTTTGAACCTGGCTACCACCTAAAGTATCCACATCAATACGTACATAATCTTAGCGATATATTCGTGGCATTATAGCATACATGTATACTATAAGCGTTTCATTTATTGGACATATGAGACAGTAAATATTTATATAGTGATCAATGCGTGTTGACATCGTTCTATAATGTACTTACTATCATGCTTGTACAGAAAAATGTAACAATAAACCATACGTTGTAAGAAACGTGACTTGCCAACCATTGTACTTTAAACATCCTATAGTGTAAATACGAACAAGTCAATTTCGCATATATGTATGTCTGTATAGAAAGTTTTAATAATAAAATATTGCGATCTTACTATGAATTTTGTTTTTTCTTTCTTGTATTACATGTAAGTGTGGTTGAACGTGGAATATGGTAATCGCTCATGGCGACGGTGCAAAACATTTACATCTCATAGACTATATGCAGATAAAGGAGCAAAATCATTACGAAATGCTGTTTCTCTAGTTAATCTGCCATGCATTCAATTTTATATCAGCACGCAGTAAACTTGAGATTAATATCATACTGTTGATATTTTTCAACAACGTGAAGTCGCATTTTACAGAAATTCGATACATAAACGCACAAACGGACGTTCACACGCACTCACACGTCCGCTGCCCTCGTCTCTTATTACTATATCTCATTGTCACTCTCTTTCTTTATTATCGTTCTCTCTCTCTCTCTATTTTGTTCGATTTCTTTATTTGTTTGCCGAACTCTTTATTTATCACCCTTTCTTCTCTCTCTCTCTCTCTTTTTTTGGGGTGTGTTGGCGAGCACGCGTGCGAGGCAAAAACGTGTTTATCGCGTTAGTACATTCTATGTTTAATTTCAAACTCCACGCATGAGAGGCATGTGACGGCTCACTGTCAGATAATAGCCCATAGAATGGATGGGATTCGGGGAGATGGACGACTACACCAAGAATGTGTTGATGGATAGGGACCGGTCAGCACGAGTGTCCATCGTTAGCGACACAGCTGCAGTGGTCAGTGCGTCTACGTCGGCACGGCTTTATACACGTTGTCGGCGAAGTCGGTACTTTACCATCAGACGAGCCGACGGCAGCCGCCACACACGTGCCGCGACCTCTGTCGGCTGGACATTGGACACGCGTTAGTGTGGACCGTTAACAAACCGGACCGGTCAGCATTGTTATAGCTGGTGCGTTACTGCACTGGCTTACACGGCGCGCGCACAGCCCTCGCTGATGACAACAACAACAACAACCACAGCAACAACAATAACAGCAACATACCTGTAACGATACCGCGTATCAACGATGCACTGTAGCGCAGTATCACGTTGATGTTGATATATACGTTGCAGTCTTGATTACTTGCAGCTCAGTTTTGTAGTAACAAGGAAATGACCAGTATCTGTATTCGGAGGGTAAATAACTACATAATTGTGTCATATTCCATAATTCTGACTTGGTTTTAGTGTCACATATATTAAATTTTTCTAGAAGACATGCAGTCACTATCACCATAACTAGGAATATTCGCAAACTACAATTACAACTATGAAGGAACTGTAGAGCTAAAGATGTCTCTCATCAATGCGCCTTAGGCCTATATCGTATATCTGATATCATCATAACTTTACTGAGTGCAGATATTAAATTGGAATGAATATAGCTTAAGTAGAGAGACGGCTTTTGTAATCAATATGCTCGTTTACTTTGCGTATAGAGGTGTAAGTCATCTTTATACCGTCGCCGGTCACAACTAACACCTTCACGTTCAGCCACCTACATGCAAGGCAGAAAGAAAACAAAATTTATGGTAAGTATCACAATATTTTATTATTCAAAATTTCCTATGCAGACATATATACATTATATGCGATAATTGAACTTCCTTCGTATTACACTATATGCTAATGTGTTCCAATTCACACTTGCCTTTACACGTATGCTTTATTGTTACATGTTCCAATTAACGACATATGATTTGAGTAAATTATAGATAATATGCAACAGACCGCATGCCACCTACACAAATCTTACTACCCTCAATATGCCCAACTAAGTGAAACGCTTATAGTTAATCATTGCTATAGTAACACGAATATACCGATACCGAATTATGTACGGTATTCTGTGGATACTTTAGCCGGTAGCCAGGTTCAAAGTCCGCGCACAATATTCCGTGATGACAACATGTCGTCTATTGTCGCCTCCCTTCACCAACCGCTTATATATCATCTACGGAATGCATTACATAACACGCGCGCGTTAATTACTCGTGTAATAAAACATCTCGTAGTTGTCATGGCCTGGCTTCCATGGTTCGTCTGCCATTCGCATAGACACCGGTGTGTTAACTAGTCCAATCGCGGTCGCCATCACGATAGCCATGAACGAGGCCTAGAGAGTCGATCATTGTAGCACAGCCTGGCAGTTGACTTACTCGCACGAGCTCATATACTCCAACGTTCACGCACCTTCTAAATTAACACACAATCAACTCCAACGTTTTACGCTTATAATATCAAAAATCTCAATGTTAAGCGCTAATAAAATAAAAACAAATACATTGAACGTTAAAAGCGCATCTACAATACACTGAAATGGGTTCCATCATTTCCATACAATATTCATCTTATATGTGCAAGAGATGCGGGTTTACGACACTAGTTACGCTGAAATGGACATACGTTGTAAATGTCTTGCGAAACCCCCTCAAAGGCGCAGCGCCTGCATCACATTTATAATGCCTTACTAAGTTGCTCTTATTTACAACGCAACAACAGCACGACCAAAAATAAACTAGAAGCGGCAACAGGAAAGTACATGGTAACAGTGTGAGATATTTATGATAAGACGAGAGATTTAATAATACAATCGAGTATGATAACTGAGATGAGTTGATAACATACCGATGAAGTTGAGCATGCTGGGAGCAGCGAAGCCGTGCTGCGATGAGAGAGAGAAGCTGTCATCTAGCATCGGTGACGTGTCAGCAACACGGACGACATCTTCTGATTCATCTTCATCGTCCTCATAGACGCCAGCACGCCGACAATCTATGCGACGCGGCGACGTCGCTCTGTCGCCGTGTCCGTCAACGTAAGAGTCTGAGGAGCTCTCGTCGGATGAGGAGAGCGACATATCAGAGGATGCTGTCAGGTCGGGAAGATGCTGTGTCGTGAGCGTCAGTGCGCCGTCTGGATAGGCGACGGCTAGCTGCTGCAGATAGACAGGCATCGCGTACTGAAGGCTGCAGTCGATCAGTAAGGGGTCCGTGTATCCGTGCGCCGCATCATGACAGCACTGCGACGTTACGTGCTGCTGTTGCATTTCGTCTGTTCGTAGAGCGAGTGCGTGCGTCTGTATGTTTCGTGTGTGTAGAGCGAATATGCAGTGACTACCGTCGGCGAAGGGAGTGTCGTTTATAAGCGTGGCGTCGCCGACACGGATGACGGGTCGTCGGCAGCGACGACAGCGCCACCGCGTCACGTCGGCGTCGTCCGCGGCACGGCTTCACACGTCACACGTCAACGTCACACGTTGTCGGCGAAGTCGGTACTTTACCATCAGACGAGCCGACGGCAGCATATTTATGTGTAAGTGTGCATAGTGTGCAGCGGCGCAGCAGCGTAGCAGCGTGCATTCGGTGGGCGTGTGTTTGCTGTCGTTGGAGCATTTGCAGCACGGCTTGTCGGCAATAATACTAGGCGAAGTAGAGCAGTGAAACATTAAGACATTGGTAGTAAATAGATTTCGTATTTATTTAGCATTATATTTTATGCCTGTGGGGCTGTGTTGCAAAGAACATTTGAGCGGCATTTACGTGGAATTACTAGTCGATAGACAATCGACATAAACGTTAAGACATTTCTAGTACATATACACTTCGCATATTTTTACTATCATTTGACCATTGAAACTATGGCCCTTCACTTTGCATGTGGCTGAGCGAAGGGCTATAGTTCTAGAGCTACATTGAAACGGTCCAAGTGCCTGTGAATTGTTGTTATTATATTTCCTTGCCTGTCACCTATAGCGCCTTTTTGCCGTTTTAGGAGAGGTACCGGAAGGGACAGTGGATCTATAGTTGCCAGCACGGACAGAACGAGTGTCGAGGCAACATTGTTCAGGTGTGATTCATACATAGAATGCCAGATGCGCTATATAATAAGCAAAATGTGAAAATGGGCGAAAATCGAGTAAAAAGGCGCACGCCACAGAATTTGTGAAATGTTACAGATAATCTATGTGTTACATACCTAGATTTATTTCTGCTTGTTGTTGGCTACCTGCAGGTCAACCTAGTGATTCTGAACCTGTTGTTTTGGACACATAATCAGATATGGAGCTATAATATAGGCACACAAAGGCACGCACGCATGCACAAATACGCACGCACGCACGCACG